AGCAAACCATTACTGTGGAATGCTGCCGCTGCAGAGGCAGGCGTTTTTATGTGTTTGTGTGAAAAAGAGAGGCGGGGTGGGGGCTGATGTCGGGGTTTCCCCCTTCCCCCTGCTGCTGTCACACTCTCTGCCCCCCACAATACACTGTCTATCCCCCCACATACACACAACCCACTCCCTGTCACACTCCATCCCCCCATATGAAAAGCACACTGCAGCCACTTGCACACTGGGATAGCTACCACAATGCACTGCTCTCTGTGGCATTGCAAGAGCTGCTAATGTGGCCACGCCACTGCGCTTGCGGCCGACAATGTGAACACACTGCAGCGCTTTCCCTGCTGCAGTCTCCGAGGGCTGGTTTAACTCCTGGCACTCTACATCTCAAGTGTAGCCAGGCCCTTAGTCTCCCATTAGTTCAAAGCCAGCTTGTTATTATACCTCCAAACTATAATTAAATCTCCTGGAATACGTATGCAACCAGCTGCATATCAAGGAAACAGGTGAAACAAATTTCTTTCCAAACTGCAACATTTCATTATTAAGTATTAAGCACAGTGATTAATTGGGGGAGAGGACTCAGTGTTGTTTCTGTTGGTTTCCATAGCAGTTATGGATCCAGTACCACTCCTGTTATTGTCAGTGGCAGCTTTATGACTCATCCTAGCCTGACGTAAACACTTTAAATCTACATCTTCACTGAGCTACATCAAAGAGAAAAGGGGGGGGGTGGGAATTTAAACTTGGGAAATTCCTGTGACGCTGGCAGACCAGATGCCAGCTCATGCCAAGGCCCTTGGGCCTAACTGAACGCTGACAAATGCATAGCTGGAACCAGCCTGGCTCACCTGTCTGTTAGTGGTGTTAAAATAGCTTATAGGAATGTGTTTAATGTTTAGACTTTATAAAATGCTTGTAAGATGCTGCATGTATTAATCTTGCTTATAACATCTGTACCCCATGGCATAAGGTTATTTTAAGTGTTTGCATTGTAATCTTCTGTAATTGTGTAAATCATCAAACAAGAAAGGAGCATTAATTAATGTAGACATGCTGGCTTCCTACAGAAGGTGTTAGGTCCTGCGCACCACAAAGGCCCATTGAGACCAAATGAGCCGTTGTGAAACATCAAAGAATAAAGACGGTGATTGCTCCCCACAATGCCCATGAAGTGGAGATGTGCAGGTGGACTCATCCCATCAGCTTGAACTCTGAGAGAAAGGAATAAAAATCCCCAACAAGAAGGAACTGTGTCACTGTGTTGCTTGAACTCTGAAGGGTGAAGATTCTTAAACATTAGCAAGAGATCCTCAGCGGTTTTGCCCTGGTTAACCCTAGAGGATTTATAGAACTTGCACATTACAGCAGCTTATATTACCTTTTGGAACCTAAGACTGTAACTCATTTGTGTGTGTATGTTTACCTGGTTTAACCTGGTAAATAACTCTCATTTCTTTTCTTAGTTACTAAGTCTTTAATTAGCTTGTAGGCTCGGGGCCTGTGTGGGCAGTGTAAGCTTTAGGATGGTCTTAACGGTTCATTTCCTTGCTGTGAAGTGCTTGGGTTATGTAAAGGATGTGATATTTGTTATCACTTAGCAATCTTAAACTATTTTTAAGGAAGGTTTTGAGGGTTGGAATATATATTACACACTTGATAGAGAAGATGATGATGGAATCTTCTGTTGTCAGTTCGACGGATGAGCTACAGTCACATATTGTGGGTCCTGAGATAAGACCAAAGACCAATTCCAGACCTGCAGCTCTGTCCATGGGTGCCACAGGTGAAAACAGTTGCAGATGAATTGTGCACTGCTTTTAGCTTTATGCCTCGCACGTCTCTCCTTGATTGCAGCAATCTGCGAGCTATCAAAGTCTTTCTGTCCAATGTGGCAGATCTTGTCATGCTCTAAGAGCTCCCAAGGTGAATATCACAAGATTGGAGGTTGGCCTTAAGAGTGTCTTAGTAACATTTTTTTATCTGACCCCCCAAACAAGTTCCAGTCTGCAGTTCTCCATAGAAAATGGCCTTTGATATTCTACTCTCAGACATACGGACCACATGACTGCACCATCTCATCTGTGCTTTCCCTATAAAAACTTCAATGCCTGTGATGTTGCAGCTCTCAAGGACCTCTGTCTTAGGAACCATATCTTGCCATTCAGTTCCCATTATCTGCCATAGACATCATAGGTGGAATAGATCCAAGTGTTTTATATGGCAGTGATATGTAGTCCATATATCGCAGCCATAAAGAAGTGGGGTGATGACCATGGTGCAATAATATTTTTGTTTGCAATCTGACAGCATGTTCATTCCAGGGATGATGTTGAAGTTTTCCAAAGGCATTGCTGGCTGCACCAATGTGTTTCATCATGTCATCAACAATTATTGTGTCTTGTGAAACAACACTGCCTGAGTAGCAAAATTTGTCAATTACCTTGAGTGGTGTATCATCAATGGACGCAACTGGAGTAGTGGCAGTACTTTGCAGTCGAGGCTGGACCATGGCTTCTGTCTTCATTTAGGCTGGTCGTTAAGCCAAAACCTTTTGTTGCACATACAAAGCAGTCCCTAAGCAACTGAATATCCCTGAAATTGTGAGCCAATAGCACGGTCATCAGTGAACAGTCATTCACAAATGATTGTCTTCATAACTTTTGTCTTCATACACAGGCAATGCAAATTAAAGACACCTCCATCCATATGGTACTGCATACAAATGCCACAATCAATGTCTCTGAATGCATCTGTTAGAACAGCTGCAAACATGATGCTGAATAATGTCAGAGCAAGAAAACAGCCTTCTTTTGCTCCATTTGTGACAATGAAAGGAGCTGAGAAGCAGCCTTGGTCAAGGACAAAAACCTGCATTTAATAATGTTAATGAACCTATCAGGGCAACCAAATTAGTCCATAGGCCATCTCTATTCAGAGTCAAAGGCCTTAGTAAGATCAACAAAAATTACATATGGGTCTTGATTCTGCTCACAATATTTCTTCTGAACTTTCCGGAGTGCAAAGATCTTGTCTGAAGTACCATGCCCAGGGCAGAGGCCCCCTTGGCTTTCAGTATCTTCTCTGCAAATTGATCAATTAGCTGGTTTAGCATGGCTCAGGTGAGTACTTTTCCTGCAGTGGCAAGGAGCAAGAGGCCACAATGGTTATTGCAAGAGGCTTGATTGCCTTTCCTTTTCTATAGGTGAATGATACATCTTTAAATTCCTGTGGCACAGCCTCCTGTTCCCAAAACTTTAGGTATAGGCCAGTGGGCTTCCTGAGCAGCTTCTGGCCCCGCATTTGAAGATCTCTGCAGGAATACCATCTGGACCCGCTGCTGTGCCCTTTTTGCTTGACAGCTCTAAGCAGCACACAACTATGTTAAAAGAACATTATTAAGGTTGCCAAGTCCAGCACTCAAAAGTTAGGAAATGCCAGAATTCAGGTTGCTTTTGCAACCTACTTCATCCCACTTGTGTGTCTGCATTATGATACAATCTTTAGTGACATGATCACATACTATTTTTTCCACACGACCTCTGCCTCATTCAGTAGCCAGGATGGCCAGCGCTCACTTAAGGAGCAGCTTTTCAATATTTGTTTTAGCCTTATCATTCAGTGTGTGGACTGATGCCTCATTTACTGCACATTATTCAAACCCTGTTCTGAAGACTGAATTATTAATTTCCTCACGGGCTTTCACAAACATTAATTTATTTTCACATCACCTCTGTGAGATGACAGGATATTATTATCCCCATTATACAGATAGAAGACTGAGGCACAAAGAGATCTAAAGTATCCACTAATTTAGGATGCCCAATTTGAGATACCTATGATATGATTTTTCAGACCATGTAGTATTATGTAGCACTTTATATGTTCAAAGCACTGCTCTCACTGAGTTCACCGGGAGCTGTGAGTGCTCAGCACTTCTGAATGTCAGACCCCTGGGTCTCAAGTAAGGCATCCTGAAAATGAGGACCACACAATTAGTGATCATCTGTGAAAATTTTGGTTTAAGTGACTTGCCCAGCATTATACAGGGATTCTGTGGCAGAGGCAGGGATAGAATTCAGTTCTCCAGGCAGCAGTCACCTTACCCACGAGACCATCCTTTCTCTTCCTGCAAGCCCCTGCCTCATTCATGACAACCTTCCAGATTCTGCAACATAATGAAGCAGGGGTCCATATACAAATAGTCTCCTTTACTACACAATCCTGATTCATACCCAGAGCATGTCCAACCTATGCACTAAATGAGGCTGGGATTCTGTGGAAAAAATAGTATGTGATCATGAAAAAAATGTACATCGTGCAAAAGCCCAAGGGGGCTAAACTAAGGTTGCACAGGCAACCTTAATTCTGGCATTTCTTAACTTTTGAGTGATATATATATATAATGATACCTGTCTGCAGCTGCTTAGAGATTTGGAACATTAGAAGTAGTCCTGGCAAGTATAGATTAGTGGTCAAATGAGACAGTCAAATATTAAAAATGAATATTCTATATCACATGGTTGCAGAAATTAAGGAAATGTATCACATTTTCAGCACTGCTGCATGGATATTTCATAAAACATCTTTCATTCTAAACTGAGAAAGAATTTGCTTGTGTCCAAATATGATCTGAAAGTTTTCATCTGACCTCTTTACTTTCTTCCTTATTTATTTATTTTTATTTGCTTGCTCTGTTTAGTACCTGTGTCTGTTTTGAAGATCAAAACTGCACTAATTTGTGAAGCAGTTTATATCAGCCATAAAAACAAATTTTATTAACTTTTTTTCTTTGAATTATTAACTTCTGAAGAATGAGAACAGCCATAAATGCTCTTGTCTCCACAGGGAGTAATCTGGAAATACAAAATGCATGTTTCCATTTTAAGTACGTTTTCTTTGCAAAAATGTTTGCAAATCAGGTTTGAAATAAGGGATAAAATAACTTGAAAATGTTTTGCACTTCAAAAATAATAAAATATATTCTTATTCTGCCTTCGTAGACCACGCAATGCAGATCACTTTATGCAAGAAGCTAAACGGAAGAAGCATAAAGCAGACGCGATGGTGAGAACATTTTCTTTCCAGTTATGTTGTTCCGTATTATTTTTGTAATGGAACTTCTTCATCAGTGTAACACAGCTAAGGTAATTATAAAATCTATTATCAGGATGGCTGGGCTTGTTAAATTAAGAAGTGTTTATACAATCAAGTGTTCATAGCCCAATAAACTATGACTTAAACAAATAACAATTTATAGGGATCAACTCTTGGATAAATGAAAATTTCCATTTATTTCTTTGCTTTAATGAGTAGCTATAGTAATAGTCCCAGATTTTGAAAGGTATTTAGGTGTTGCGGCTCTCAGTGTTGTATCACCTAACTGATTTAGGAACCTAAATCTCACCTTCAAAGGGATTTAGGCACTTAGGAGCCTAAAACCCAATGACTATCAATAGCACCTAAATACCTTTTGAAAATGCACCTAAATACCTTTTGTAAATGAGATGTAGGCTCCTAAATCAGTTGGGCATTGCAATGCTGAGCTCCACAGCACATAAGTACCTTTTGAAATCTGGGCCGTAGCAACTCTATGAGATTTCCGAAATGTCTTTTTTTTTTCTGTTTTCTGGCAAGAACTCAGAAAGGTTCAGGATGCCCAGGCCACGATTTTCAGAACTGGGTGCCTACAGGAGATACCTAAATCCTTATTTAGGTTCTTGGTCATGGTCTTTATTTTTATTCTTGACTTAATGCCAATGTGGCTGATAAGCGAGCTACTGACTGGGTTATTATACTTTTCTAATAGTTATATCTCAGGGTTTTTTTCTCTTTGTCACTAATCCTCCTGCTTCTGTGCTGAATTCTCTGTAGAGGATGCCTTTCCTTTTCTTCTATTTTGGACCTTTCTGATTCTGTCCATCTTTCTCCTACAATGGAGCAACCCCTCAATGATTATTATTTGATAGTGTTATTTAATGTTTCACCAGGAGCCTTGTTTGTATTTTCATCCCATATTTAACATTTCTTTAAAATGAATAAAAATATAATTGTGGCAACTTCCGTCTCTCTCTTTTAGGGTTTTATACTGCTACCCATCACTTCCACAGAAAAACAGTAGCTATAATGAAGGCCCCAGAATACCTAATAGGTTACATCTACATTGTGAGCTGGGGGGTGATTCCCAGATCATGAAGATATACTTTTCCTAGCTCTCATCTGAGCTAGCACACTAAAAACAGTAGGGTAGTATGCTTGGCGGTAGCATGGAGAGTGGTAGCAGTGGCATGTGCTAGTGTAACCCCCACACCTTCTGGGTGTGGTGTTGTGTCCCATCTAGTGGCACCAAGACCCTTAGAGAGAGAGAGAAAATGAGTCTGCTCTACAGCCTTAGCTAAGCCAGTTGGCTTTTAGCTCATGCAGTAGAGGCTCATGCACTAAGCTTCAAAGGCCCCAGGTTCAATCCCGCCTGCCAACGAACACGGTCTGTCAGCGTTACAAGGGGGGGGGCTTGTCCAGGATTTCAACTGGGAAGTCTCTGAAGCTCGGGGCGCGCTTCCTCAGCTAGGGGAAGTATGTAACCTGCACACCTCCTGGGTGTGGTGCTCTGTCCCATCTAGTGGCACCGAGACCACTTAGAGAGAGAGAGAGATTAATGCGTTTGCTCTACAGCCTTAGCTAAGCCAGCTGGCTTTTAGCTCATGCAGTAGAGGCTCATGCACTAAGCTCCAGAGGTCCCCGGTTAGATCCTGCCTGCCAACGACCGGGGTCTGTCAGCGTTACACTGGCAGCCCATAGTACATACCCACAAGGTTCAGGCAGGTTTGTATTCAGGGCAGTTAGCATGGTGCCATCATTGCTGCTGCCCACACTACCACAGCTACACTACTATTTTTAGCATGCTAGCTCAGATGAGAGCTAGTACGAGTAAGTCTATGCGAGCTGAGAATCACATCCCTAGCTTATAGTGTAGACGTAGCCATAGTGTTAGGCAGTTGGAATAAGCCTGAATCCAAAGCCTGCTCATCTAAAGCTTATGCAGACTTATTTAAAACCCTTTAGTCTAGAAATTAGGTAGGAAATCTTACAAGAACAGGCTATCTCGTAAACTCTCTGGTGTTTCCTTGTGCTGAATGGGTTGGAAGGACCTGAAGGACAGCCTTTCTTGCAATCTTTTGATATATCTCCTTCTGGATCTTGACAGAAACCAGCTAGTGCAAATGTATGCAAAATCTGGACAAGAAAAGGAACTAAGAATAACTTCACATGTTAAAACCTCAGCGCTTTGATCCAGGTCTAGTTTGTGTTTGGGGCAAAAGTTCATCCTCATAATGATTTTCTAGATCTTACCCTCCTTAATTATTTTCCTTTACCTCTCTGGCAAGAACTCAAAAAAAATTCCAAACATATGCTCCTTATTTCTCTTAGTTACAGGCTAGTCATTACCTTTCTTTGTTTAGCATTGAAAGATTATATTTACATCCAAGCATGATAAGTGATATGCCTATTGGGTTGTTATATTTTTCTTTGGGTTTTTTTTTCTCCTCCTGCTGCTTCTTTTGTTATTTTATCCAAACCAGTTTGCTCAACCTCAGTCATAAATTTCCTTGACATTAGCTTTCTTCGTTGTTGTAGTGTTTGCTTCCTCACAGCCATATTTGTAAGTCTTTTAGAATTTGAAGGGATGTTTTGTGTCAACTTGCATCAACCTTACCTATGTGTAACTTGTTTTGCTACAATTTTTAACCATAGTTTGGTGACTCCAGTATTTCTCTGTGTCCTTATTTTATCTGCCAGGTGGAGAAATTTGGAAAGGCACTGAATTACGCTGAAGCAGCATTATCGTTTATTGAATGTGGAAATGCTATGGAACAAGGCCCCATGGAATCTAAATCCCCTTATACAATGTATTCAGAAACAGTTGAACTTATCAGGTAAGCTCGTAGAGAACAACAGCACTGTTTGGATATATTTTCCATCATGAGGAGAACATACCTGAATGCCTTTAAACATGGGTAGAAATTAGAGATGGAAATATTTAACAAAAACAAAAACAAACAACCCCTCAACAGTCAATATTCATCATTTGGGGAACTCAGTACCTAAGGCGGTTGATAATGTGATTATGGAGTTTCCACCATTTGGCCATCAGTTCTAATCCAACCCAGATTGGTAGTGACTGAAGATCAATACAATCCCATTGCTACTTTTTTGGTCTATGTGAAATACGTTGGTAATCGCAATCCAGTTCCTGCTGGACAAGTGTGCACATCACAACCCTCTTCTCCTATTATAGCTGACATCAACAGGCATCCTTATCAACAGTTTCAGCTAAGAAAGGCAAAGATTGCATCATCACGGAGTCTGAGCTATTCTCTCATCCAAAGAGTGGTCCATCCAGAACAGAATTAAGGCATGTTGGCAGAGAAAATTTGCATTGCCAGTGACCACGTTATACCTGTTCTGTAGATAGAGAATTTCATTCCCCAGGGCAGTCAGTCAAGCAGCTTTCACCAGCACTAAATTCACTTTCAAAGTTTAATATTTTTAAAATCATAGTTCTGCAAAACTTTTAAAACAAGTGTTTTCTTCCAGATTTGTCTGCTGATCTGACCATGTTCTCATTTGTGTAAACAATTCTGCTGTATTGTGGTCCCAGTTTGGGCTCGCTTACGCTTTTTAGTCGCAGTAAAGCCAGCTCAGCCAGCTGACTCTGACAAGAAAGAATGACATAAGATAAAATACCTTTTGCTCACCACTATAAAATTCTTTATACTTATTCCCACCCCCTCTCACCTGCACCACCACAAGCAGCACAGTTGCCCTTCTTTGTCTGCTTTTTCTTCTCTAATTACAGTATATTTACGGCCCTGACTCTGGCCCTGAATTTTGCTTAGAGCTCCATCTATGCATGTAGCTAGGATTTCGTAGTTATAAAGTAAATTGTTTATGAGCTGCCTGCTAGGTATAGTTCCAAAAAGGAACTGATTTATCAGGACAAGTGTTTGTTGAAATAAGGTGTGCATTATCATGCACACAATGCATTTGCACTGATGTCAGAATTAGAGTTCGATAACAAAGATGAAATAAAATCAGCTAATTACAGGGAACATGTATTCTTCTGGAAGCAAGCCCAGAGGTATTGTATGTTGCACTAATCTTGACCATTGCTCAGGTGCTAAACCGGAAGTTGACACTTCCAGGAATTGATTTGGCTGGATAGCACATACATTCTTGAAATAGCAATGCTACTACTGTAGATCTTTGAAGAATTTGAACTGAATGTCATAGGACCAAAATAGCTGTGAGCCACATGCTGCCCTCTGCTGCACAGTGCTTGGAGGAGCAAAACTGGAGAGACAAGCTCCAAATTTGCAGTGTGAGGAGAGCACACTGGCTCCATGATACGTTCTCTTCTGCCCTCAAATTCTATGGGAGCCTTTTTGCATAAACTCTGCAGAGTTGGGGTTCCACAGGGCTGGAGAATATTTTGGGAGGACTACACAAGGCAAACCAAAGAGCAATAACTCTCCAAAGCCGGATCCCCTTAATATTGTATGGATTTCCAAGGGAGTTATTGCTGGTTGAAGAGAGTTAATTAGGCACGGAGGGAGAGAGAGCTAATGGCGGAATGGCTCAAAAGCATGAACTGAAGAGCACAAAATGTATCTGTGATAACTGGAAGAATAAACGTAATGGGGCAGGTCCTCAACTGGTGTAAATCAGTATAGCTCCATGAGGATGTGACCAACAGTCAGGTGGTCTCCTGTTAACACACACTGGCCTTAATGCTGGCTTTTCCCCCTTTTTTAAGGTATGCTGTGAGACTAAAAACCCACGCAGGCCCTAATGCCACTCCAGAGGACAAACAGCTAGCAGCATTATGGTTAGTAGATCAATATTTACTCAAAGCCTTCTTTGATGCAGTGAGTCAGTCCTTGAAAATCAAATGCTTAGTGCAGTCAGACAGAGGCTTGGTTTTGTGTTGTCTGTTGACATAGAGAGAATACTTCCTGATCCAAGAAGATCCAGACCAGTGTCATCTCTTTTTCCTTGTACTACTGTGCCTGGTCTGTGTTCTGTTTCTGTAAATAAGCAATTCATATTTATTGGCTGTGACAGGTCAGCTATGGCACGTCAGCGTAATTAATTTTTAAGTGCCTGATGGTCTGTGTTTTTATGACTGATGTACTTTCCTTGTAACAGCGTCTCAGTAATTTCTTCTGTGTATAACATTTTAGGTTCAATCATCATAAATTATACTCATATTGTATGAAGGGTTAGTATGTTGATAATTAAACAACCTGGATTAACTCTTTGAATGAATATTCCCAGATATATGCATTTAACTTAGATTCTGTAAAAATTTGCTGAATACTAATAATAATGTTATTAAAATTAAATTTAAATTTTAACAACTATATAGTTAACACGTACAATATCTATTACATGGTTATGGATTCTTAGTAAATGGGTTTTACAACAGTTTATCTATTCTTAACACCTGTAAAAATCCAAATTAAATGTGTATTTAGAATCTATAAATTAAACAATCTTAATTTATCATTTTATATAAAAAAGAAAGACTATTTACTGATCTATTTTTAATTAAATATATGTCCTTTGTCACTGCTTTAATGCACAATTGGGTGCACAAATAAGATTAACAGTAATTGTTTTTAAAATGCTTAAATGGGAAAACGACTAAAAATAGTTTTTAAAAATAGCTGACCATGTCTATTCCTGGGTTTTGTAAAGTGTTTTCCAGAACCGACATAGCGTTTTAGTGTGTGGAATTTAATTCAAATTCATAAAGCCACTGCATCTGTTTAAGCAGAAAGGTCACAGCAAGGGAAAGTAGGCAGAGCACTCCTTCAGCACTGCATAGCAACCCTAACTCATTGTCTGCCACATAGCAGAGGAGTTGACATTATTTGCATATGTACTGTAACCTATGAAGGTGACAGAGTGAGAATTATGAGGACTGTAAGTCCATTGTATCCTTTGGCTCTGTACAATGCACACTGGGCATACTGCCACACAACTAGTTTATCTGATACTGATCTCCTAAGAAGAGACTGTCCTCTAGTGGTAAAAGAGGAAATTTCAAACTTTCAAGGTTGCCGATCTAAAAAAGGAAAACCCTATGAAAGTGAATTATAACAACCCTGGCTGAGATTTGCAACAGTGGCTAGTGATTTTGAGTGCTTTGATTTGATTTTTGGCTGCCCAACGCACCTTAATTGGGTGAGATTATCAGAGGGTGAGACGACAGCGCTTTCGAAATTCAGGATGCTCTAAGGTATCTCAAAATGGACATCCAAAACACCAATAACCTTTGAAAATCTTGGCCTCTGTTACCAAATGAAAACAAGTGTTACTGATTTTTGTGTTACATACTGTTGAGCAATCCCCCATCTTGTGAATGCACAAAAACCTGATGGAGAAGATCAAGCATTTTGTATGTATTATTTATTTATCAGTTATTGTCGTTATGTGTGTTATGTGGAATCCCTGCAAATGGAGGATTGTGGAATTCCTGTTATTGGAGGTTTTTAAGACTGGGTTAGACAAACACCTGACAGGGATGGTCTAGGTACACTCAGTCCTGCTTCAGTGCAGGGGGCTGGACTAGAGGACCTCTTAAGGTGCCTTCCATCCCTACATTTCTATGACTGTATAATTATTGTTAATTACTATTATTGTGTATTTGTTTATATGGTATTATAAAGGTGCATGGTGCTCTACAGAAACGGTGGAGACAATGGGCCAGATCCTCCCCTGTGCTTCCCTTTTGTTCTAGTTATCGCTGCTTAGCATGCTCTTTGTAAAAGAATCCTCAGGCAGAATAGAGTCTTCTTAGCAGCTTCTACATTACCTCCCTTCTGGTCCCCAGGAAAGGCATGTGACTAGGGAAATGTGGTCATGTCAGGGGCATCCTTGTTCCCTGGCAGTTTCCAGCTGCTTGAAGAGTCCACTGGGGTCATAATCATCTAACATGAATAGGCCTGAGACAGCTCTTATTTACTCCATTGACTAGTCTATTCCTGGGTCATATGTCCCCAAGATTAGGGGCCACAAAGGGCACCTTTATGCTTTAAAGGTGCTGTAACACATTTTACATTTTGTCTTCTTTCTGTTTGTTCTAGTTATCGCTGTTTGGCGCTTCTATACTGGAGAATGTTCCGACTCAAAAGAGACCATGCTGTAAAGTATTCAAAAGCACTTATTGATTATTTCAAGGTACTTTCATACTATATTACATTTTCAAATTGCTAATAATGATATGGAATTCTGCATCTTTTTAAAAAGAGTAGCCCTGTTGTACCCAGTCCTACTCCCACTGGAGTTTTGTCATAGGCTTCAGTGGAAGCCGTTAATTTCCAGTCTGTCGTTCTGTATTCACAAAAGCACATGTATTCAGTATACAAAACTTACAACTTACTGAAGGAAGAGCAACTTACCATGCCATGAAACTGACACATCCTGCCCATTCTCCTTTTTTCTTGATTGTCCAGTGTGATTCATGGTGCTCTGCAATTAATACGTTTTACAGTATTCACAATCAGAATCCACTTCAGGATGCACCTCAAGGTAGATTTCGTATGGGTTGGGGACTTTGAGCTAGCTCCATATTTGGAATAACTTGTAGGGTTCCTATTTATGGACTTCAGCGTGTAAGAAAAGGCAAAGGGATAAATTCTTCCCTAAGGTATTGGCTGGAGTCGACATTGGCTTCAGTGGGAGTTGCATGCAAGTATATCTGTGGTCAGAATATATACCTGCCACCAACTTGGCACACCTGGGCTTGCCTCCACTTCCTATCTTGTTTTCCCCAGATAGTCCCTTCAATTCTCCGCTCTCTCATAATGCAGTGCACTACTTTATTTTTAGTATGACAGGAAGTCATTAGATTTTTAAAATGTTCCCTAAAGTGGCAATATTTGATTGGAAAACATCTGGAAATCAAAACATTCCAGATGGATCTATAACAGAGTAGGTCAAATATTTGGCCTACAGACATAATCTTTGTAGTCCTATCTGAAAAAAACCACACAAAAATTGGCGGCTGTGTCTACCCTTCAATTTGTTTTTATATCCTGAGATATAAAATCAGAGAGCAGTGAGGGTACAAATGCTCTGCAGTCCTGATTCTCTTTGGGTCCCCTAAGTAGTCATTTGGTTTGGGGTATTTTAGTATGTTTTTTTCTTTGGGGAGGAGGGAGCAGGGGTTGTCCCATCCTATACAAAAAATAGAAAAAAAATCCCCAGCACAAATATTTTGTTAATGATGAACTTTAAGTAGAGGCACAAATTTTCATGACCAAATTATAAACTCATAAATAGGCAGGAAAGGTGACAAATCTTTTACTATGAAATTGAAATAGATGTCACCAAACCTGGATTTAAATGCATAAATGAGTAAAATTTAATTAAATGTATGTTTGTCTAATAAGCATCTTTAGTTTATTGGTAAGAAATCTATAAATATTGTAACACTGTACTTCTCCTACCAATTCAAATAACACGTAGTAAAAATTGGAAATTCAGTCTCACAGCCATGTGAAATGTCTCTTAACAAAAGAAAGAAACCTTTCTACAGAAAACAAAGGTGATATTTATTCTTTATTATAGTAACATAAGCATCATACAAGACAAGCTTGGGGTTTTTTTGCAGGGCTTCTGCTGATATAATAATTCTGTAGATTCTCATTAGAAAGTAAAGTAAAAAATGAAAAATTGCTCATTCGTCGTCTTTTCGGTGGAAAACAAGCCAATTTTAGACTTGTTTCATATATTTGTACCTAAAAGCTTTCAAAATCATCTAACATGACATGCTGACTGGATTAAAAAACTCTCAGATATATTGTCAAATAAGAAAATAGATCAGCATTTGTCACACACATTTTCAGCGTAAATTTGATATCTTTTTCTTTTAGAAAAGAAAAATTATTTAAATCTTCTTTTAAACATTTTATTTCCATTTTCAAAAAATTAATAAAGCAGAGAATTTTAAGAAGTCACAGACATTTGGGAGTTAAAGATTTTTGAGAAAATAAGAGATTCAGTTCGGGTCATGAAAGCAGAACAAAGCCCACAGGAGAATCAGTGGCGATGAAGAAGATGCTGTAAGTTAGACTCAATTACACTTTCTGAGAGCTACTTCCCTCATCATACTGGTGTCTAACAGAGTCTAAACTAAGTAGGGCAGAGGCTATTTTAACTTACATTGTAAGTGTCTCCCACCTTCTTCCAGCTCCTCCATGTGTAAATTACCTGCTCTTAGACTCCCTTACACATCAGCAGGATGGACATAAGTAGCTTCGAGAGAGTCTAGCTGAGTCTAAATGAATGTCTGAAACCAAGGCAAGGACAGTCAGGTCTAGGGGTTGGAGCCAAGAGTTAGAGCCAGAATCAGGAGTCAAGAGCAGTGTTGGAACAAGGTAAAAGGAGGGCGGGAGCAGGACTAGGGACAAGACTGGGATTTAACTAGAACTGGAGCAGGCAGACGCCTGTGGAGTCTGTCACCACTATCAGGCAAACGAGAGTTCCAAGCCATGAAGCAACACTGAGCAGACTGAGCTATTGTTTCTCCTGTGAGGCTTATATACCCACTCTGAGAGTCACAAGACCAGCTCCTGGTTTGTGGGTTGGCTGGAGCCTAACACAGGAATGACTCATCCCCGCATATGGTTTAATCAGGCTCTAGTTCAGGGAAGATTTATCACCTCATACTGAATGTAAGGGAGTCTCCCTGACATCACCGTATGCACCATCTCTAAATTTGGCCCAGTTGATTTATGGCATCATGAGACTTGAATACACTTTTCATATGTATCAGCTCTACTTTTTGCACCCCATCTTTACATTCTCTTTGTTGACATTCATTTCACAGTCCTGTTTAAATTATAGGTTTGTAAATGGGTTTTTTGTTCGTTCTACAGAATTCATCGAAAGCTGCCCAGGCTCCATCTCCATGGGGTGCCAGTGGAAAGTAAGTTCACTCATCACACAGAAACTATGTCTGAATTGCAGTGAGAAATGGCATTTGCTATGTTCTGCTATTTTCATGTTTGTTCATGTCACCCTTATATATATATATATATGTTAAAATTCTGTTTCAGGAGCACAGGAACTCCATCCCCCATGTCTCCTAGCCCTTCTCCTGTCAGCTCAGTAGGATCCCAGGGGAGCACCGGTGCCCCTTCCCCCTCTTCCACTATCAGCATTCCACAGCGTATTCATCAGATGGCAGCCAATCACGTCAGTATTACCAACAGCATCCTGCACAGCTATGACTACTGGGAGATGGCTGACAATCTAGCCAAGGAAAATAGAGGTGCGTAATCTAACACGTCCTTTAAAAACATGCCAATAAGACAATATATTGACCTACTTTGACAGTGGTCCTACTGGAAGATCTTACCTTCTGGATTACAGAGGTGTATTCTTTTAGCCTTTTCATGGGCTGTCCCAAAAGGTAACAAAGACAGTTTTGTCAGCATTCCCACTCAGAAGAGGGAAAATATCACTAATTTCTCCTTTATTTGACGGTCCAACTCTCACCGTTTTCCAGGAACAGATTCACAGACATCTGGCAGTCAAACAGGAATTAAATTGATCTTTTGAGTTCATTTAATTCTCCTTCTCCTGGGCGGTATTGCACAATCTTGTGGCAGAGCTACAGAAATGGATCTCTTTGGTCTTTTGTTCTTGTTTTACAAGAGAAAACTAATCAAGTGCACTGATGACATTCCCTTTTGGTGATGACTTTTACATGACCTCATATTTTTGCATGTATTGACTAAGACATTAACGTACAACTATAGGATTCATTGTAGGATTTACGTGTCTGTGGGCACATAGGACACCTCCCCTCTGAGTATTCGGACCCTGTGTAAATATCTGAGGTTTAAGTCCCACTACTCTACTTTAGCTCTGACATGGACAATTAGATCATTGGTGTATTTACATGGCACCAGGACAAACATACAAGGCCAAGTTCTACTCTGAGTACATCAGCTTTACACGGGTATAATCAGGGTTTAAAGTCGGTGGGGGAGTAGCACAGCTTCACCTCCTATCTCTGACTTAGCTAAGCAGCATGGATGCTCCTTGCCTATGCTATGACATCTGGCCCTACCAACTCCAGTTGGGCCCTGCTCGGCACGGCTCTTGCAGGAGCAGTGCCTCTAGGGACCTCCCCAACTATCAGTTCCTCCAGAATCCACTGTCAGTGGAGCATGGGCAATAGCATAAGATAATGATATAGCTACAGGCTGAATTCATTCCACTTATGTCCCCCATGAGTTTTAGGGAGAGAATCTGGAAGAGACAAGGCAGCTTCTCTTGCTCACCTCCTCCAATTTCATGTAGCTGCATGGGATGGAGGTTCAAAGGGGCCTGCGTGACATGAAGGTTGGACCATAGCAGAGGAGAAGAACGCCTCCCTTCGCCTGCAAGTGCAGACTTTCCTCCACATACAGAGTTAGAGAGGATCAAGGGGTCCTCAGTTTTTACTTAGTCCCCCTTCAGGAAAAGTTCCCTCATGGTTTAAGTAGGAGTTGCCTGAGTAAAAACCTCAAGATTTGGCTGGCCTCACTCATTTTGAAAAGTGTTTCAGTCAGGATAATTTGTGCATTTGAACTACAAATGATGTCTTTTATCTTTATAAGGACACCATTGGCAAGTAATCCTTTTATACTCAAGATCAATGGGAGTCAATGAAAGAAAGAACCAAGAAATTAGCTGTTTAATTTTTAAAATGAAATTGTTGGGAACACTCAGATCATGGACCATAGGGGCCTTAAGGACACTAATTTGCCCAAAACTTCCATTTTAATAAAATGTTCAGTGTGATTTAGTTAGTAATAGAAAATAGCTATTACATGGTGTCAGGGTTCCCTCCCCACTCTGAACTTTAGGGTACAGACATGGGGACCCGCATGAAGACCCCCTAAGCTTATTTCTACCAGCTTAGGTTAAAAACTCCCCTATTCCTTGGATTAAGTAATGCTGCCACCACCAAGTAATTTAAACAAACATTTAGGGAGGGCCACTTGGAGCCCTACCTTCCCCAAATATCCCCCCAAGCCCCTACACCCCCTTTCCTGGGGAGGCTTGAGAATAATATCCTCACAAATTGGTACAGGCAAACACATACCCAAACCCTTGGATCTTAAAACGATGAAAAATCAATCAGGTTCTTAAAAGGAGAATTTTAATTAAAGAAAAGGTAAAAGAATTACCTCTGTAAAATCGGGATGGTAAGTACTTTACAGAATAACAAAAGACTTAAGAACATAGAGGATCTCCCCTCTAGGCAAAACCTCCCTCTAGACAAGGAAAAATCACAAGCCAAAATAAAAGTAAGCTAACGCATTCCTTTATTATTACTTACTAATTCTAACTGAGTTGGATTGCTTGCCTTCTTGATCTGTCTCCGGCAAGCACACAGCACAAACAGACAAAGAACAGACAAAACAAAGCCTTTTCCCCCTCCCCAGATTTGAAAGTATCTTGTCCCCTTATTGGTCCTTTTGGTCAGGTGCCAGCTAGGTTACCTGAGCTTCTTAACCCTTTATAAGTAAAAGGATTTTGTGCCTCTGGCCAGGAGGGATTTTATAGTACTGTATACAGAAAGGTGGTTACCCTTCCCTTTATGACACATGGTGATAAATAGCAAATGTCACTTTCATTATTCTAATGCTTAATATTTTTTCCATAGAGTTTTTTAATGAGTTGGATGCATTGATGGGACCTGTCACCCTACACAGTAGTATGGAGCATTTAGTTCAGTACACTCAACAAGGACTTCACTGGGTACGGAGTAGTGCTCACGCAAAAGACTGTGTGCCATTCAAATGAACTGCATAATCTCCCATGGACAATTCAGTTATTCTGGACACTGTGCTACAGAAATAATCAACCATAGCATCCAAACAAAGGTGAATATTTCTTCAATGTTGAACAACATTTTTCAGAATGTAGACATATATGTGTGTATGGATAATATGCAGCTATGTCTCTCCAGAATGCATTGTTCCATAGCAATCTCCAAACATCGTCATTCTCTAGACAAAATTGACCACAGATGTCTTAATACACACACACATTTCCTATGCCTGTGCTTAGAAAAATTCAGAAACCAAAATCTCATGAGTTAATTGAACCAAGTGCAATAAACACAATGGCTCCTAGTCAGGAATGCACTTAAGTGTGTGTTTAACTTTAAGCATGTGCTTAAATGTAATTGACTTCAGTAGAACTTAAACATGCACTTAAGTGCTTTCCTGAATTAGGGACAATGAGAGTCTGACTGGCAGTTTGGCTGCTCCATAGAACTTTCAGTGTTAGCGCATCATCTCCCTCTTATTTCCTGATTGGGATGTATGGATGAATTGTGTAGACTGAAAAAATATGGAGCGAGAAAGCATTAACTTTTGTGCAATAAGTTTCAACAGCTTGCATTCGTTTCTTTATTTCTCTGCTTTTGAAATTACCCTATCTCCTGTTCAGCCTCCTTATCAACTATAATGGACATTATCGAGGAAACAGCCTGAAAAATGAGTGTATTGATAACAAGAAACTAGAAGAGAGTCTGGAAAATTGTGTACTGTCATTACAGGCAAGAAGTTAACACAAAAATACTGCAAACTGCAACCCAGTTAGCAAAGAAAGTCCATTTATTACATGTTCATATACATGCACACACATTTGTTTGCTTTGTGCAGTGAGGCTTCACCTTACTGGCTCTGGTTTTGATATCTTTTCTATCTTAAAGTAGCTTGCTTGCAGTTTCTTCTAGGCTGTATCATGCCATTACATGAAATTCTCTTTATCTTGGAAAGCTGGGTTTGCTGCTCACCAGACTAAGCACTGTTTCCTATCATAATCCTCTCACTCGTCATGCATAATCCTCAACTAGGCTTTAATGTTTCTTGATTTATGGGGTGTTTTCAGCTCCTGTTGACAGGCTGTGTTTTTTATGCCAAGGGAATTAATCCTAAAGTAATTGCAATTTAATTTGGATCAGCTGAGGTCATAGCCAGTTCATAACTAATGTGTTGTGTGCATTTAGTGGATTTTTGTTCTTGGTTAATTTCATTTTCACTCCTCTGGAAACATTTGATTGTTTTCATCTGAAATATAATTGTATCGGTTATTTTGCACCCAGCCCTCTAGCCCTTACTCATGCAAGTAGCTACATTAACTTCAGTTGCATCAAGTAAGAGTCAATGAATGGCCATCTTCATTGCTACCTTCTAGTCAGCTTTATCTTAATATTAGTGTGATGCTGGTGCAAAAATATCTGCCAGTAAAAGTTACATACCAACAAAGAAAAATAGCCACTTATGTAGTTGCCTTATATATGGCATTTCAATGTCTGATGAGTTGCATTAGAAACCACACATCAAATAATTTAGCCAGAGGCGGATTAAGGTTTCCTGGGGCCCTGGGCCAGAACAAGTGGTGAGGCCTTCCCCACCCCTTCTACCTGTGGTCCCGCCCCCATTCTGCCCCCTCTATATGTAACCCCACCCCTTTCTTACCTTTCCCTCCCTCCCCTCCCATTCCACCCCTCCCGCACTGTGGCCGCAAGACCAGAGACACTCTGGGCACAGCAGGGAGTGAGAGCTTCCCCCAGCCCTGAGGCTGCAGCAGGTAGCGAGACCTCCTCCAGTCCTGGGACCGGGGTCAGGAGGTGCTGGGGGCTTCCCCTGTGGCTAGCCGGCTTCTGCCGGGATTGGGGGGCACTGGGGGCTCCCCTTGCCACAGCGCCCGCCTGCCTGCCCGGCACTGCCGCTAGGGAGTGGGGTCTGGGGTCGCAGGGGGTTCCCCAGCTGATGCTTCCCCCGCCACCGTCCTGCCTGCCTGCCTGGCGCTGCTGCTCGGAAGGGGGGTCGGGGCGTGGGGGCTTTCCCTGCCCAGGTTCCGGGGTCCCCAGTTGGCCGGGGCCCCTGGACACAGGCCCTGTAGATCCAGTGGCTAATCCGCCACTGAATTTAGTTTGTTACCACATTAAAAGATTTGCGGTAAGACAATGGGTATGACAACACTGCCACTGCAGGTGTAATGTCCAGTTTGGGTAGATGTGCATGCACTAGCTTCGATCAAGCAGTGTAGCTGCAGAATGGGAGGCAGCAATCTCATCTGAGACCCCAGGTAAATACTCAGGCAGCTAGCCCACACTGCCATGGCTACACTGCTATTTTTGGTGTACGAGCTCATTAAAGCTAGTGCATGTACATCTATCTGAGCTGGAAATTATACCTCCCGCTGCAGTGCAGACATACTCAGTGTCATGTCATCAGATTTCACTTTGTTGTTGCATGTTGCAGAAGAAATACCAATCATTCAGTTACAGTTGCTGGAATGTAACTTGGTCAGTGCCTAGCTGATTATTACCTGCCTGATGTCTGGTTGTGAAAGTCTGTCAGTGATTTCCTAGATGAGGAAGTGATTTAAATTTTCTTAATAAGTGAGTAATTTGGTTCTGTTAGGATAGCAGTGTGGGAATTTCTGTCAAACCACACAAGTGGGATGCCTGTTAAATTTACTTCTGCTTTCTTTGGTGGTTGCTTTATCATTTGTCTTCAGATATGTTTTTTTGTTTGTTTGTTTGTTTGTTTTGGGGTTGTTGTTTTTTTGGTGTTTGGGAATTCTTATCACTATTTTATGCCAGTTAAACTTAGAAGCAACATATATTGCTTGCCTTACACAGATTTTAACTTGGCATTGGAGTTTCAAGTAAGGAACTTTGAATCACATCTCTTGTGCTGTGATGGGGGATAGTTTTTATTAATCATGAGCTCTTTTGGAACTTGTTTGGCTGCAATATGTACAGCGATTTCACAGAAATTCAGGAAGAGTTAATGTCCTGTTATTGTAAAATGTTTCCTGACTACTACGGATCTCTTGTAGATTTGTGCCCTTTCTTGTAAGTTGTTTTTATGCTGAATCATTCCAGCTAAAATACCCATCAAGTGCCATGGAAATGGTACATTGATTGTAGTTTTTGTGCTGGAATCACTTACATTGAACTCATGTAAACAGAAGAAACTCCATTGATGTCAATAGAGCTATGCCCATTTAGACTAACAGAGAATTGACCTCCTGTCCACAATGCTCCTTACAGGTGGTCATTCTGATGAGGTTAGAGCATGCAGTTCAACACAGACACGTGTTTCTTTTGTACAGGTTGCTTTTTGTCATGATAGCAGCTCTTTAAATAACTACAGCTGTGTATGGCATGATAACCAAAGACACTTCATTTCATTCCTTTAGAGCCTGATCCTGAAAAGTGCTGTGCGGCCTCAGGACCTGATCCAGCAAAGCTCTGAAGTATAAGCATCACTTTACGTACATAAATAGTCCCATTAATTTCAGTGTGAGCTGAGGGTTCTCAGCACGTTGCAGGATCAGACCCTTAGAGATTGTCCTTATTTTGCTTGCCACTTGCAAAAGCACATCTTGTTTGTTTTAAATGATTGTTTCAAGTCTGAGAATGATAAAGGTTCCCTTGTCTTGCATTAGAGATTCCATCTCAATCTTTCAGAGGTGAAGATGTCAACCTGTTCAAATCCAGCTCAAAAGCAAGATTATGCCTGGAGGGAGAGGTTTGGTATAAAACAGAAACTTCTGAATGTGACAGACAGCTAGTCTACCAGCTGATGAGTACATGCAGGCGTGGGAAATCAACTGGAATATTATCAAATAAAATGTGTGCCACAGTTGGACACAAAGCCAATACAGTGAGGTTTTTTGCATTAAAAATGCCCTGAGATACTCTGAGATGTTCACAAACACTTAGTTAATGAGATATTCAGACACACTTAGGCCTTGATCTTGTAAGATGTGCATCAAGGAGTGCAAGGGTGAGTGGAGGAGATGTATAGGTTCAAGTATGGCTGACCACTGAGCATAGACATCTATACTGTGTGGCAGTAAATCCCAGGCCCCTTCCACAGTCCTTTCTTTATTCTAAATCTCACAGGGTTTAATGGGAAGGGGTGTAGGCAGATGTTGGGCATGTGAGGAGACATGGTATTCAGTGTAGGCCCAGATCCTCCAAGATACTAGACATGTAACTCCCATTGAAATAAATGGGAGTTAGGTGCCTAAATACCTTGGAGGATCTGGGCTGTATCCCTCAGCATGCAACACTGGTGCTTAGTTATGCGCTCCTTGTCTGAGCTTTACTTCTGCTACTGGGAGTAACTTGGCAGCCTGGAAAGTAGTAGTCTCATTAATGCAGAATCAGATTCCCTGCTCTCCCGCTACAGGTCATCACTTTTTACCTTTCACTTCCACACGCAGCAGTCTTTCCCTGCACTGGGCAGAATCAAGCCCTCAGTGTACGTATGCACACGTCTATAGCTAAATCATGAAAAAGTTCAGTCAGCACAAAGGATATTACTAGTGCCTCCCATTGCTCATTGAGTACATGTCACTGAATGGCCATATCACCTCAGAAGAGCAGTAATTGTTATCAAGGTAATGTGTGCAGCTAATTAATTTGTAAGACTCTCGCCTTGGGAATGGTGCAGTCGTATATCTTTCATAATACCAATTTTCACCCATTTTTCATGGCTCTGATATAAATCTGCATAACTAAAATGTCAGGATTTTTTTAAAAAAGAAGACACACACTTAGACCTGGCTAATCTGTGCTTAGTTTATCTACTCAAGAGACTTTACTAGACACCAGCCTTAATGCCTATACAGTATATACTATTGAGTGACTTAGTCGCAGTGTTTAATCCAAATGAAATTGGAATTTGTAAACTGACTTGGATTAACTATGTCTGCCACTGCTAGGTTGCAGCTGTGACATTAAATGATTATGGTTTTAAACAAAAGAGGTTGAAATTTTATGTAAAGAATAGTAACTGAATTCCTTAATCTTTTTAGAAGAAGATTTTTAAAAGAACACCTTGTCAAAGTCATATGTTTTTTAACTTTCCTAAAATTTCTGGAGGGTCGCTGGTTCATGGTCAAAGCTGTATTAACGACATTTCCCTTCTACAGTATGTCTGGCCTTCGCATAATCCGCTTAATACTTAATATGTCAAAAAGAAATGTTTCTTTTTTATAATGATTGCAGCACTCCCCTCTCCCAGTTCAGTGGAAAACCCTCAGATTAAAGAATAAAATCTCCTCGCACGTTGCTGGCACCATACACTTAACAATGACTGAATGAATTTGTTACAATGATGATAGAAGTATGGCTGGCACAGATGTAAAATGTCTTTCCTTTTGATAACTTTTTGTTACCATTTACACCATGTATTCAAACTCATTCCTTATTTGGATGGAGAGAATTATCTGATTTACATCCTATAAATATGTTCCAGCTCAGAGCATGATCAGAATCATTATTATTCCACTACTTGGTACACTGGTTATGCACTAAAGAGTGGGAACATGCATAGCAATGGGTGAACCTCATCTGAATCCATTTAGAAAAGCATCTGGATGTTTATTTGAAGCTGATCCAAACATATGAACCTCTTTGGTCAGGAAAGATATCTGGAAAGCTGGTGAGAACAGAGTCTTCCACAAGATTCTCAGAGTGAAATCTTGGCTTCACTGATTACATCTACACAGAAAAAAAAAAAAAAAAAACAAACGTGGCAGCGAGTCTCAGAGTCCGGGTCAACTGACTCAGGCTCACGGGGCTCACGTTATGAGCAGCATAGACATTTGGGCTTGGTCTGGAGCCTGGGCTCTAGGACCCTCCCCCATACCGGGTGGGGAAGGGGAGCTGCAGTGTAGACGTACCTAGTGAAGTCTAGGGCAAAACTCCCATTTCTTTCAATAGAGCCAGGATTTCACACTCGATATTTATTAGTTACCTTGTAATAAACTGTTTTCAAGATCATTTAAAGTTCTTGGGAAAGTCACTTAGAGCCCTATTTCCCCAGACACCGGGATAATCCACCTGAGATCTGAAACTCCTCACAGTTTCTACACAGTATTCTCTCAAGAAAGCATTGTTTGTCCCCCAGGAAGGAGTCAGGTATCCCCCCACCCCCTTCACCTGGGGATATCAAATATCTCCCAAATCACCCCCTTGCCTCCACTCTGCCATCTGACCCAAGCAGCTGCTTCTAGCCCCTGGATGTTCCCATGTGTCCAGGGGCTTTCCCTACTGCGACTGACCCAAAACCCATCTCTAAAGGGGGGTTCCACAGCACAGAGGGAAAAGCAATGCAAGTAACCATGGATTCCATTAACTTACACAGCTTTTCCCCACAGGCCTAGCAGGGACGAACCCAGAGGAACCCAGCCAGCCACCCTCCCCTTCCAGCTCTGTGGAGGTCGAACCGCACAGAGCTCCCCTGAAAAGGCGTTTGTGGGATCCCAGGAATGGGGGGAGTGCCAAAGAGGTGGCATTTCCTCCAAGGGCACAGACTCCTTTCTGTGCAGGAGCACAGAAGGGGGCAAAGTGCTGCCCTTTCCCCATGTGTAAAATGGGGATGCTAATAATATATTCATGTTTTGTAAAGCACTTTGCAATCCTCAGCTGGAAGGTGCTACAGAAGTGCTAAGAATCATT